CTCCCTAATCCTAATACATTTAAAATTCTTTTGAATTTACCGTCATCTTATGCAATCAGAGGTCATTATAGTTTACACAGAAACCGAGTAGTGTTTTTGGTGGAACATTTGTGGAATCTATCGGGGTTGTCTTCTACCAATCGCATCGTCAACTGCAATATACATTCACATAAACACACACATTTATATGTATATTTGTGTGTGTGTGTTGCCATTAGTACTGTAAGACATTTACCATTTAAATAACCCGTTAAATATCGAATCTGCAATTACTCTTTGGTTGAAGACATGCCTCAAGCTACAGTTTGAATAGGCTGTAAATGATTGGCTGCTTGTCTGACAAATAGTTACATTGACGGTTTCTCCTCAGATTTTCTTACATACACAGATGTGAGTCCAAAAATCCGATGTTCGTTAATCTTTGACTGATGCCAACTGTCTGCTCCTTACTATTTAGAGACATTTCTGTCGAGAGGACATGACTGAGGGCTCACTTTCCTCAACTGGTTAAATTGTTCTCCCTATCGTGAAGATAATTTGAAACAGAGTCTACTGAGGCATTCCACTATTTGAACTTGATAGGAAGGCGATAAAACAACACTCATATCTACAGATCTTATGTTTTGTCTCAAGTTATTGATTTCCCATTGCCTGTCTCTAAGTCACCGGCCCATATGCGACACAAGTCTGTTATCCATCTAGCGGTGTCTTTATCCCTGAGCGTCATTAACACAAAGACAACTGTGGTTTAAAGGTGCTTAGCTTGTAGACACACTCCAACGGTGATGTGGAAGTTGTTCATGGCAATGACAGCTATTATTTGCTCTCAAATCATTATATTTCAATGCGGACATTATATTGTTTGCTATTCTATTTTGCATTTGACTTTACTCAGTTACTTACAGTCTAGGTGCGCATAATCCACTTAATGCTAAAATTACTCTCACACTTGAGTACTTTTATACTGTCGTTTCTCCTTTCTTTTTACAGGCATCTACTGGTTCCCTGTGTCTTTCAATCCCTGAAACCAGTACCCTCCTTTACATGCTCAAGGAAGTTCATGAAAATCTCCGATTGGCCGGCAGCAATTGCAAGCCACTAAAGACAAATCCATTCCGAATTATTGAGGAGGTTATACCCACTGAGGGCGGTAAAGCGAAGTCCCCGTTAGTTTCTCCAATTTTCCTACTCTCTCTCTCTCTTTCTCTCTCGCAACCTTTACCAGTTTTTACTTTGTATCTCTAATTTCGTCCTCCGAATTCACAAGGAAAGTGGTAGTATATATTTGGATAGGATAATTCCGAACGTTGAAAACGCGTATTTACCGAGGGTTCGGGAAAAGTGAATTTTATGGGAAGTTCATCTTTTAAACGTAAAATGTTTCCCATTAACTGTACCTCTCGTGCCTTCGTCGATTTTCATTAGTAAAATTCTTCGTGATGGCTTTTTTGGTGGTCAATTATTTTGCCATTTAATTTTTTACATTCATTAGCATAAATTAAAGTATTTAATGATGACATCATTTCTGCCCTCATGTGTCTTGGGTTCTTATAATTGGAAGAATCGATAAACAGCTTATGAGAGTATGGTTCTTGAAATTTCATATTCCTTTTAAAGTCCAGTTTTATCAATTGTGTTAGTGTAATTTATTACAATTGATTGAATTGTAGTCTGTTAGTGTGTGCATCATAATGGATGATACGACATTCCTTTTTTAGACACAAACGCTATTGGATTGAATGCTGGCGTGCACCTAGAGCACACATAAAAGTCGCCTACACCTACTATCCCATCCCGTGGGTTCCGGATTTCTGGGGCTTTCTCCCCAAGGGTTGGGAAGGACATTCCACTTCTCGTAACCCTTCAATGAACGCTAAAGCTAGCGTAAACCATTGTGTTTCTTAATATGGCCGCAAATTGCATTCGTGTCCTGTGTTCTAATTGGCCTGCAACTTGTCTTGACTTTAGGTACTTGTCTCGCGTGATCCCGAGGAAGCGGCTTTGGGTGACCTCCGACCTGAGGGCTCTAAAGCTCGTGGACCGACTGAGTCGGAGCTGATCAGGGCTAAATTTGATCCATCCTACATGGCTCCAGATCAAATGGATATCCATGTTTCGATACCCAGCTCACAACTCCTTTTCTATGGAGCCCTCATTCGGCATTTACTTCATGTCAAGGTAAGGCCAGTGGGTTCTGCTTAAGTGATCTTAGCGTCCATTTTGAATTAGATTATGTATGACTCTTCCAATATTGAATTCCTATCTTATGCGATTAGGGATTCACTTATCTCAGTGAGTGGTAAACGGACATTCGGAAACTTCCTATCATTGAACTCTTATTCATGCTGCTTACAGAATGAGTATGAATTTCCATCTATCGATTTTCGTCGTTGGATTTCGATATGTGATAAGTTCCACTAATGAATTAGTTCGCAGATTAATCAAGTCATACATTTTTAAGTACTGTCAATTTTTTTTTCTACTCAATCTTGGGTCTTTGGGATTTTTGATGAGATTTTTGTTCACGCAGGTGGTAGTGCAATCTAAATCCTCTTGTGACTATTTTATGCGTATGCCTATTACCAAGAGATATGGGCTTGTTGTCCTTCTCAGGCGTTGCCTAGCGTAATTGGTCCTAATCAATAGAGCTACCCCCTTTCTCCTTATCTACCTCCTTCGCTTTATTTCCTCTCTGTTGCTTCGGTATGTTTCATTCAGTTGATCGATGAGTAGGAATGATCGTCGTCATCTTTATTTCGGTCCTTTTTTTAACACACTCAAGAGCTTGACTATTGATCTTATTTCAAAACCAACCCCAGATAGTGATTATATCTCAAGTGTTATTTTTTCAATACCTCCTTAATTATTGCGCATTTCAATGTATCTTTATAGGAGACTTACTGCGGTTGCTACCAAACACCAATCACGACAGCGGATCTAAAGGAGTACGGTTTGAACAAGGAGGGAAATCAATGTTTAGTGCCATCATCTCCTATCCCAGAACACAATCGTCTGGGTAAAACGGACCCAGTGATCGACCCTCGTGAATTCCGCCCACTTGGTATCCGAATCACCTTTTCACTGCATAACTTGCAAGCCCATTTACCAATAGTTAGTCAGATATGCGTATTTACCTGTCTACTTTGTTTATATGGCTTTGTCAATATCATTCTTGTTTTTTTTTCTCTCAGCACACAAGTTCAGAGATACCACTTTGTCCAACTGCTTTTATCGATTGTATTGGATTTGAAATGGATACGAATTTTCATGAGACCAAGTTGCAGCTCCTCTTCTCTCCTGCTCTATTGTGCGTGTTTGACAAATGCAATGTAAGTAGACACATTCCAGTAGTGTATTTACCTTCCATCTATCTAGTCTTATCGCCCACCCAATGCCACAAATCTCAGCACGGGTAGAGGGCAACTCACAGGATTTGAGCTGCGTGGACATGGCATGTATAGCAATAGAGATATGCCACTGAGAGCTGAGACTGTGGAGTACGCTTGGATGTTTGAGATAACTTGTGGTACTGTAACTGGACAGGTCACGGCTCCTCAACTCTCGGCTCTTGTCCAATGTATCTCTAATCTTGTCTTCTCGGCAATTGATCTGGAAAATGCGATTATTTCACGACGAACAGGTGAACTTTGTCAGCATGGTCAACCTCCGGTACGTCTCATTTCAAGTAAACCATTCCGAATAGCATTAAATTCGACCGGTTATTTCCATTTCTCGCTGTTTTAGACCGAATGCCGGTTCTGGTCAACCAAGTCTTCAGGAGCACGTCTGTGTCCCACGGAAATAGAGCTGAAGTATCGTCTTTGCCGTTTCAACTTGGATGGCGTAGAATTGGCCATTGTGGAAGCTGGAACGTGTTTGATGATTATGTTGGATGCTGTTCGGGTTGCCAGGTGCAATATGCATGATGTCCATTCAAGGGATGGAATTTCAGTGTTTCTTCCTCGTGTACAATTTCTTCAACTCATTAAACCTATAAGTGCGTTTCTGTCTCATAAATTAAAAGTTTCTCTTGATTATTCATCTAATCACTTTAGCTGAGAAAGTTCTGTTGTACTCCATCCCAATATGATTTTGAAATGGCAGATACCTTGAATAGGTTGTGTGTTGTGTTGGGTTGACTTTGAACCTCTCCAAACATGTGGGCTAAAAGCGAAGTACATAAGTACATGTATGTGCGGTGTGCGTGTATCGGCTCATGTAGCGTCTTCATTCGTGTCTGATCGCTACTTGGTGACTTCGTGTAAAGTTTAGTTAGGTTCCGAATTCAAAATCTGGAATTTACTATTGAAGGGGGGGGGGGAGTGAGTGATTTTTGAATTCGGAATGTATCGTTAAACTGCTCTTCATTAGTCAGTTCAAATTTTAGCATAATCACGTATTATCCTATATGCTCGAGGGTTATCTCAAGCCTTTCCATGCTATTGGGTGAATATGCTTTCCTCGGGCAATCATCTGATGTTCTTTATTGTGGCTTATCTTAATCCAATCTCACAGGTCGCCTTGTTCACTTTTCTTCCAATGTGAACCTTCAATAAAGTGCTCATTTTGGATTCCTATTTGGTTAAAAGTCATCGTGTTGCTTGCCACGTTCGATATTCTGAGGTGTCACCTTTCCTGATTGCTTACTTAATCTCAATTTGGATTGCTAGTCTGGTTTCACACACTCCTCGTTACATAATCAGACTTGCCAATGTGCCCTTTTCAGCTTAAAACAATGGCTGGAAAGGAATCTGGTTTTTGCCATTTTGAATCGATGTAAATTCAAGTATTCACCGGAGATTTTTTATGGCTAACTAATTCCTTAAATTCATCTAAGACTTCCCATTTTTCCGCTGTTTACTTTTATGTAATAAATATGTATTTATTTATATCAGATGGCAGGCGCCTTAATGGTTATCATTAGCCCTTAAGTTGACTTCAGGCTTCTTAGAGAGAGAGGAGGAACATCAAAGTGAAAATAAGTCGAGAGTTGGGGGGGGGGGACGGAAGTTTTTCAAAGACAAAGGTAGAAAAATGTAGAAAAAAGGTGAGGTGAGTACTGTGAAGTTGTCGAATATGACGTACAGTGGGGTGATGGTGATTTGAAGTGAGAAGTCAACTGTCAGTTAATAGACTTTTTTGCCGTATGAGTGTACGTTGCCCAGGGTGCACCATGTGGAGGTAAGTCTATCGCACACCCCTTGTAATAAATATAAGGGTCGTTAAATTTAGGCTTTCCAAGAGTCAGAAGAAGGCAACTATCTGGCCAGGATATTGCTTCATTGAGAAGTTGGAACTGAGGGTGAAAGCGGAGTTTCAAATGGAGAAAGTAAGTGAGCAACGCACTTAGAAGATGGTTGTAGGAGTTAGTGAGAAGATATTCGAGCAAGTGTCTCTTGAAATCCAGGACATCGCAATTTGATATTCATAAATTGGGTTTTCAGAGGCGGTTGTAGCATCTAGAATCTAGCCTTGGAGGGGGGGG